CGTTTAAAGCATTTAGAATTACGAAATACATATGAATTACATAGGTGAAAGTTGCCACTAAACAAGCATTTACCAAACTTGTGCTCATCTTCGTGAACTGTTTCACAAGTCACCAATGAATTGTTATCTGAATAACCTTGATTACGTACTGAGATGTGACGACGTAGTAAAGTAATGGAATTCCTGATGTCCTGACAAATCATTTTATTGAATTTTCTTTCTTTACCGCATTCGACCTTTGAATACCTTACACAGTCCAGCAGTAGTTGCTTGAGAGTTGCTTAAGGGAGTGAAATCGGTTTGTCTGAAAATGTCAAAGTCTTTATTAAGTTGTATGCTTCTTTTCCGATGAATGTAAGGAAATGGGCCACAATATTAACATTCCCAACATGTCCCTTGGTCATAGCCCAGATTTTGAATCTTTCCATGTAATCCTCCAAAGCATCAAAACCTGAATGTATGTCTCGCCGTTCCATCACAGGCTCCATAGTGACGCTAATGTGATATTTAAGAGTATTTGAGTTATAGTATAAATTAATAATCCCAAAAACAACGCAATTTAATCAAGAAGTATTAGATGAACACGAACGCATATATTGTACTTGGAATTCAAAATCAAACAGTCATCAGTACAAGGAAATCATTGGTTCATTCAAACACCACAAATATATATATATATATATATATATATATATATAACGCAAACCCATTTTTCAATAAACATTAATAACTTGATTGAAAAATTGCACGATGTTATCGAAAAGAGCGAGTTACTGATGAGAACGATCAGTTGATTTTACATACTTTGTTTCAACCTATCTTATTCGTACATTTTTCATAAATGTTTGTGACAACAAATTCATCTTAATTAAATTTGGTTGAAAATATTTTAAGGAAATCAACTATCCTGTCACATTTTATCGTATCAAATTTATTAAAGCGCTGTAGACCATTACTTTGTCTTCATAAATATCATATGAATCCTCGTTGGTCATGGAGACGGGCTGAATCTTTTAACCGAACTCAATTTGAAATATTGTTTGGGAAAATTGGTTCTTCTGACCCTCAACGACGACAGAAAACTATGTTTTTAAGAAATCCGTAACAAGTTGATAAAACTTTTATAGAATCTAATTCAATTACTAGTGCGAAATCTCAACGCTTGACTAGGGCAGCCAACTAGAAGGATAAAACAGGCTTCAGAGAAAGCTGTATTTATCGAATCAATAATGCTAATAGGTAGTGAATATGATATGGGACTGGTATTGGGAATGTATAACTCTTAAGGCTATCATGCAAATGTTTATGATTTATGCTTTTATTGTATAATTAGTAGACAATTGAATTGTTGCGTTTCTATATCCCCTGATTTTTAAGCATTCGTTTAATCCATAAATCCTTATTCCTGATTTATCATTAGTCAACTATCTGCCTATCACTCCTCTGTTATATTACTAATGTCTAAGCTAAGAGATAAATTAATATTCCCTAATTGTGCTACTGAGTAGTCAAACATATCCAGTACATTGTTGTATGAGCTTTGAGTCATGATTTAATTGAGCATAATAGAGAAGTGATCTGCTCCTTACATTTGTCTTTTTGTTAACCACTGGTTTACGAGCTGGAGGAGCAATAAGCATTAAAGTCTCAGTTGTTGCTTACTGGTTTGTATGTCAGTTGGCAAAAGGGTCACCTGTTTTACTGGTAATGCATGTGAAGTGTTCGATAATCGAACAAGAGAGAAAGCAATCTGTTTTGTTCCTTACATAGCAATATGCTTTATTTAGTCTTAGTTGAGTAAATAACTCAGCTGTTCATTACAGACAGGGTAGGTTAACATTCGGTCTACTGAACTATCTTGGCACATCGTGTAACTTGGCAATTCATCCTTCAACTGTTTAATGTATCAAAGAAATCCGAAAAAAATCATGTGAAAAACTAAATTACTATGTTGAAAATAGGATAGACTATGCAAAGGCAGCAACATACTTTCCACCAGGACGTTTCACTTTGTTTAGTATGAGCAACGCTCATGAAACTACCAATCCCGCCTTCTGATAGTAAATTCGCTATATCACAAAGAGTACTATTAGAAAATACTATCCAGGGAAATGCCAATTTTAAAAGGATTATGAAAGACTTTGTTATAGGTTATTCTACAAGTATTATAAACCTAAAAGACGAAGTTTTGAAAGACTTTTTGAACAACAAACATCAGATTAAAGTAAAATATGTAAACGACAGATTGAATACTTTCAGACGGTTTCCTAAAATTAATCATAATCAGTACTGCTCAAGGTTATGGAAAATGAAGTTCTTTCATAAATAAATGAAACAAGATATCAGAAACTGGTGTAAAACGAGTGGAACAAAAAAATCGTATTATTAAAAGCCGGAAAGCAATTCATGTTTTGCATGCTCTTGATTAGAATCAAGATTGTAAGCGTTATTGAATAAAGAGAAACTCAGAAAAATAAATGAACAAACAAGCTGTAATAATTTGAAAAGAATTTCTATGAGTTTCATAAAAACTAAAGTGAGTAGTGTTGGGACGATCCTGAAGATTTCTCGCAATAGACAGGAAAGGCTCAGGAAACATTAAGAAGCATTTTATCGAATCGGCGTTTGGCTAGAAGTTTTGCTAGAAATATTACGAAAGTGAAAAGTCACACGTGGAGTTTCTGACTGGCTGATTACTACACTGCTACTATATTTAGTAGCATTGCAGAATTTTCAGGAAAACCCAAGAACTTCTAAAATACTATAAAAACCTTATATTTTCTGTACATAAATGAACCATTGGAGTAAAGTGCTTCTCGCATATTTTGGGGCTTTTCTCTCGTGTTCAAGTTGTTGTGTAGATTTAGCTTGGGGGTTACGAGGCTAGCTTAGGATCCGAGTATAGCGTTCAATTAAAAACACTTATCATAAAGTCACTATTTCAGGCAAGGAAGAGCTACAAAATACAGTCTATGTACCAGAGTTAGTGGGTGTGACACTAAGTTACTGGCCGTTTCTTCTATGTTGATAAGGTCACTTACCATTCATTCACAAATATCCTTAAGGGAACTGCTTTAAAGCATGTAAATTTAGGAATGTCAAATCAAATAGAATAAAATTGTTAATGTTGATATGACTCATATAGAATGTTAACTTGAATCTGTTTAACTTGAAACTGCCTTAGTTCAACAGAAACTTAACATATTTGAATGTCTTTTTTCCCTGGTACAGATACATTTTACTGGACACTAGATTCCCAACGAGTTGTACAAAGTTATTTGAGATATTTCAAGCAACATATGTAAAAAGCAAGTAAATGAATAGCCTATATGCATAACAAGCATCATTGTCAGCCAGTGTACAAAAGCGCTCGGCTAAAACTAAGTGGAAAACATTTTCGCCATGACGTTTTAAAAAAATCATGCAGAAAGCTCAATGAATGGTATGTTGCTAAGATTATTTCAATATCAGCATACAATCGTAAAAGGGAAAGCATAGTTGTCAGTATGAATAAAAGTATTTCTTTTAGTTATTATTTATACGAAGTTACTACACAAATTGATCATAAACAGCATCTTACGATGATATATTTTGTTAAACTGCACCTGATAGTTTTTGAAGATATTTGCATGTAGAATATGTACCTTTGTTGAATATCACTTAGATGATTGTCTATAACTACTCAAAATCAGATAGTCAATCTTGTATCCGAATTACTTATCATAGTAATTATATTCTAAACCTATTTGACAGAATTCAATCAATCGTAGCAATTCATGTATAGAGGCACATTGATTAGATCGGACTCTAAAAGCAAGTGGTTATTTCGTATTTATTAACCAACCAAATTCACTGATAAGCGAACTGTCATTATAAGCTTTAAATTAGACGTCGAAATACAAAGATTTGTGAGATACTTTGTTTCAAGTACACTTTAGAAATTAACAAAAATGAACAACATTTTGATGTCCCAAGGGTAAACGGACTGTCTAGAATGCTCTCAACCAACACACTTGAAGACAAGCAAAACATAGATTGCACAATCCTTAAGAGCTCAACTAAACTTTCGAGGTTACAAAAATTAAAGCTAATGATTAATATGTCATCAGGACCGACCTTGTACACAAGTATGGAATTGTGAAAGGATATTTAATTACATTCTAAAACACCATTAGTGTACTACTAATTTACCCCTTAAAACTAAGTGTTAAATTGGATATTACTGTTAAACTAAACGCAAAATCAATGGAAAGATCTTGATTGTGGCTGAAAAAACCTAGGTCAACATCATTTCTTTACAAGCCGTCGCCCTGAATTCAAACGACTGAGGGATCGGAACAGACTTCCAGACAAATATAAGCTGAGTATAATTCCCTATCACCAGAAGACATGAGGGATATTTATACAGCCAATCTTCGTATATAGCCCTCGTGCCAGGAAATCACCCTTCAAATAAAGTGACAAGGATATCCTATTATGGAAGCATAACATGATCTTATTCTCTGACTGAATATAGGCTTTCATCCTGAATGGGGCTCTGATTTAGTACATAAACCTACAAGTGTTCCACCATCTAGCTTATAATATAAAAAGACTAGCGGTTCTGAAAGTTACTGTAATTTAATTTCTGGTCTTTTTTTTAACATCATATCTACTATCATGTGCTTATTATCAAGTACTAAACTTCGTTTCTAATCTATTATAAAAGTAATGACAGTAATAATCATTACAGTCACTTATTTCCACTTAATTGTATCACCCGTTAAACAACCGAATGACAGATCCATACTACGAGTCTATTACGTGCAAATTCCGAATCAATAAGAATGTAGTTGTCCAATTGGTCAATCATATTTGGCCAATGTCTAAATTGCCCATTTAGATTTTGTGTAGCAAATCATAAATTTTGTCATCCTTCTTTTTCTGATTGGCTGAAGAACTGGAGGAACAGTTATTGTGTTCATAACGAGAACATAACGCAAATCAGTTTTCAAGACACTATTGTTTCGTCAGGCTATACAGAAAGTAGCGATCGGATTTGTTTGAAGTGCTTTATGGTTTATCAGGATGTGTAAAGTAATCTCGAGTACAATTTTAGTCCTCTTCAACATCCCACTTGTGGTATGCTTCTTTTTTTGAACTGTTGATTTACTTGTGCTATTTAATTAATATCTCATTTTATTCTGTCAACTTAATATTACAGAATAACATTCATAAGTAACTATAGTTAGTTGAGTTTTCTAACAATCACAATCTGATAAAAGTTGATGTAATAGGTCTTAATTGAAACCATTTAATTAATGTTTACGAGTATAGAGTGCTAACTAATTAGGACTAGCTTTTGAACCTGAATTGAAATTACCAAACAGATTGGCTTATAAAATGTTGAGGGCTTTATTGCTATGCTTCAAATTAGAGAGTTCAATCTTCCAGTCTTCATGAAGTGGACAATGGCTTTCTGTGCTAAGATTATTCCCGTATCATCATACAATCGTAAGACGGAAATCATATTTGTCAGTATGATCGTGATTTTTAAATATTTGTCCCTGTATATGATTAACCTAGTGAACCAAAAATTCATTTAAGCCTTCAAACATGGCTATCTACTTGGTGCTGTTAGTATATTTTAACTCTGTATGGCTACTGGTAAGTTGTGAAAACTGGATTTGAGTATTGTACAATCCCACCATCAAGAACAGATCACTACATCATGGGTACGATAATTATAAGTAAAATAATTAGTTAGGCCAGAAAATTTCATTCAAGAGAATATTTTCAACTATATTTCTTTGATAGATAAAGTTATTTAATATACTGCTTGTAATCTAGGAGAACATATTTTGTTGTATCGTTAAGAATCACTGAATTCGTTCATTTTCATTTGTTATTTTCGATGTCTTGATCAACCATGAATTCAGCCCCTTTATTTATTTATCTGATTGATTTTGTTTTAGTGTGAAGTTCAATAGGGTTAGCTGATACATATTTGTACCCGGTCGCAGATTCATCATTGAATGACAATCTGATAAGTAGAGCTTCCCTTCTATTTTAATAAATGTCTGTGGAAATGTGCAACAAGCTGATATTTGTTCTTATCAGCAAGTCAGATCAAAATCACTTTAAGTTGTCCAACCATGTAAACCTTAGAGAGCTTTTTCAAGTTCACGAAGGATGTTACAATAGCATTTATGACTGGTTAACAAGAAAAAACACCTATGTACAATTTCAAAACTAACACAAATATCACTACTGATAGTGAACTCCAGTTTTAGTACTAAGGTTTTACGATATCTGATTTGAACTACCAGCAGCTGTGATGTAGCCATATTTATATCTGGGTTCATTCGAAGCTACGTAATTATACTGTTCGATTATATTCGCATTAATGATTGCTCTGATATTGTAGATCTTAGAATATCTGAGAATTTATTTTCGTTCGTCGTAAGTTGTCTTTCCAATGTACAAACACCGAAAAATTTGTTAGTACATATGTTTTAAACAAACCTAAATACACAATTGAATGATGTGATTATTAGGATACTATCAACACGAACCATTTGAAGATCTAGTTTGTTTTTGAGGCATTTTTTCACACTTATTATACGTTTGCATTCTTATTCTCATTAGAAGATTGATTTGTACCGTGTTTTTATATGATAAAAAGTTACTCAGTCATGCGAAGAGTTGATTAAAAATATGAGAATCTCAAAGCAATTCGATCATTAGTTTCTTGTAGAATACGAATCAGCCAAATGATCGAAATCTGTAAAATATTTAGACTCATATCGTGTACGATAATAATATCAAATCATAAATTGCTTTTTCACTGTTTTAGTGACATATTGGTAAATAATGATGGAATTTGCTTTGTCTAAGTTAAGATATTCTGACTATTAGCTAACAGCATTCTTAATTTATTTTTAGTATGACAATAGTTGTGTTTCTTTAACCAACTTCTCATGTATGCAAACTTAATTTAGCAAATATATTAAAACTCAAACTTTAAACAATGTAATGGTTCTGTATCATAGTGGTTCGTATGAAAGACTGTTGCAATATAAGACGATAGATAAAACTGATGGAAAACTTGGGTATTCTTTCAGTTCAAACGAATGACTTGCAGACTAACAATTATTTCCCCGGGTAATTGAACTATTAAGGCCTACCGATAATCCTATTTTTACTTCACTAAGGGTAGTAAGAAGAGCGAATTGAGTGTTTGTTTTTTATTTACCTACCTTACTACTGAAGGTAAAATTCAGCAATAAAAACTTGTTTTTGATTAGTAACCCAAATCACTTCATTTATTTTTGATTGGAGACCTCTGTAAGTACATAGAGATAAGTTAAGGAGTTCCCATCATACTGTTATAAGTACTTAATGATTGTTGTTATATTTTGATTTTTTCCTCATGTGTATTTCTTGATTACAACATAAACAAAACAAAAACTGTTTTTCTAAATTGACTACTATCTATAAGTGAACAAACTTTTTCATGACAAAATAGTCATCTTTTCAGTTTGAAAGTAGATTTTATTCTTGTAAATCAATTCAGAGTGGGTTTGTTCAAAAAGGAACAACAATGAGGGGGGATAATGTTTACCAATGATTTAAATTAGTTAAGCATTTAATTGTTAAAATAAACTCAGTTAAGAACAATCAAAAAGATATTGATCAATATGAAGAAAAGTGTAGTTTTCTTTTTGTGTGATAACCTAAATTAATTGAAATAGTTGCAGACATGCACAATGTTAAGAAAGTAACAAAACTTGATGGTACACTGGATTCCACACATATACTTACTTACTTACTTACGCCTGTTACCCCTTGTGGAGGAGCATAGGCCGCTCACCAGCATTCTCCATCCAACTCTGTCCTGAGCCTTCCTTTCCAGTTCTTTCCAGTTACTATTCAGCCTTTTCATATCGGCTTCTATTTCCCGGAGTAGTGTGTTCTTTGGCCTTCCTCTTTTCCGCTTCCCTTCCGGATTCCAAGTTAGGGATTGAGTCGTGATGCACATTGGTGATTTCCTTAATGTATGTCCGATCCACTTCCAACGTCTTTTCCTAATTTCCTCTTCAGCTGGAAGCTGGTTTGTCCTCTCTCATAAAACGCTGTTGCTGATAGTATCCGGCCAGTGGATGTTGAGTATTTTGCGTAGACAACTGTTTATAAATACTTGTACCTTCCTGATGATGGCCGTAGTAGTTCTCCACGTTTCAGCTCCATACAGTAGGACTTTCTTGACGTTCGTATTGAAGATTCTGACCTTGAAATTGGTTGAGAGTTGTTTTGAGTTCCATATGTTCTTCAATTGCAGAAATGCTGCCCTTGCTTTGCCAATCCTCGCCTTTACGTCTGCATCCGGTCCCCCTTGTTTATCAACGATGCTCCCCAGGTACTTGAATGTTTCCACCTCTTCCAGAGTTTCGCCGTCAAGTGTGATTGGGTTGGTGTTCTCCGTGTCGCATTTGAGAATCTTGCTTTTTCCTTTGTGAATGTGGAGGCCTATCGATGCGGAGGCTGCTGCTACATTTGCTGTCTTCATCTGCATTTGTTCGTGTGTATGAGAGAGGAGGGCTAGGTCATCTGCGAAGTCCAAATCATCTAATTGATTCTGATAAGTCCATTGTATTCCATATTTCTCTTCAGATGTCGAAGTCTTCATAATCCAGTCAATCACTAGAAGGAAGAGGAATGGGGAGAGTAGACAGCCTTGTCTGACTCTGATCCTTACTGGAAATGCATCTGTCAGCTGTCCACCATGCACCACTTTGCACTGTAGTCCGTCGTATGAGTTTTGGATAATGTTGACGATCTTCTGAGGAACTCCATAGTGTCGAAGAAGTTTCCATAATGTTCTCCTATCCACGCTGTCAAACGCCTTCTCGTAGTCAATAAAGTTGACGTATAGTGATGAGTTCCACTCAACTGATTGTTCAACGATGATCCGTAGTGTCGCAGTCTGGTCTGTGCACGACCGATCCTTACGGAATCCAGCCTGATGATCCCTTAGTTCGGCGTCTACTGCGTCTTTCATCCGATTCAGCAGCACTCTGTTGAAAACTTTTCCTGGTACTGATAACAAACTGATACCTCTGTAGTTCTCGCATTTGCTCAGATCTCCTTTCTTTGGTATCTTGATGAGATATCCTTCTTTCCAGTCCGTTGGCACTTGTTCCTCTTCCCAAATCTTTTTGAATAGAAGGTGAAGCATGTTTGCAGTTATTTTAATGTCTGACTTCAGTGCTTCTGCTGGTATATTGTCAGGTCCTGCCGCCTTCCCACTTTTGATTTGTCTGATGGCCATCTTGACTTCTTCGATCGTTGGTGGAGTGACATCTATTGGAAGGTCTGTGTGGGCTGCTTCGATGTTCAGTGGATTCAATGGGGCTGGTCTATTCAGCAGTTCCTCGAAGTATTCTGCCCATCTTTTCTTCTGTTCTTGAATCTCAGTGATTGTCTTTCCTTCTTTGTCCTTGACTGGTCTCTCTGGTTTGCTATATCTCCCTGCCAATTTTTTCGTTGTATCATATAGTTGTTTCATATTCCCTTCTCTTGCAGCTTTTTCCGCCGTCGTTGCTAGTTCTCCCATGTATTTCTGCTTGTCGGCTTTAATGCTTTTCTTCACTTGCTTGTTTGCTTCTGCGTAGTCTGCTTGTGCTTTGACTTTCTCTGCTCGTGTTCGGCTGTTGTTAATTGCTAGTTTCTTGTTCTTCCTTTCTTGAATTTTGTCCAGGGTTCCCAGAGAGATCCATTCCTTGTGATGATACTTCTTAGGACCAAGAACCTCCTGACACGTTGAAGTTAGTGCTTCTTTTATCCCTTTCCAGTTGTCCTCCAAAGTAGTTTCTTGTTCATTCAGTAGATCCTGTACAGCTTGGAACCTATTGTTGAGAGTTATCTTGAATTCTTGGAGCTTGTCAGCATCTCGAAGGAAGGCTGTATTAAACCTTTGTAGTGCTGTTTGTCCAGTTGTCCAGTCTTTCTTAAGCTTCAGTCTCATCTTGGTCACAACCAGGTGGTGATCTGAAGCTATGTCAGCTCCTCTCCGGGTTCTTACATCTTCCATTGATCTTCGGAATTTTTTGTTGATACAGATGTGATCTATCTGGTTCTCT